GCTCAGAGCTGTGCTTGCACACTCACTATAGGACAGATGAAGACAAATGAGAAGCAGAACTTGAAATACAGTATAAACAATACAGCAACAACATTTATTCTGAGATTTGTACATGGACTTCACACTTCTTACTTTTATCTCTCCCCTTAACTGAGTAGGTGCACCCTCTGCCCTGAAGTTAAGCATATGTGTGTAGCATGCAGGGACTGTGAAGTACAAATCTGCTCTGGAGGAAGTAAGCAGCTTTTCCTCAGCACACTATTTAAGGCACAGTTGCATTTGGGAAGGATTCTTAGATTCCCAGAGGAGATGGAACAGCTGGTGAAAGCCTAATGCATATAAAACGCATGGTTTATGTACTTTGTGACTTCTTTTCTTAGCACAATCTCTGTCAATGAACAGTTTACTTAGAGTCATGGTAATGTGTTTCAAAAATGAAAAAAAAATTGAAAAGTCAATATGTTACTGTTCATAGCATGGACTTAATTCTCGTGGTGGCTCATGTGTAATAAGACAGCTTTTTGGCAGGTAAAATGCCTGTGTGTCTACAGTCCTGTCTGTTTGTGTAATGCGGGTAAACTTCATGTGCTGAAAGAAATAATTGAAAGAAAAGACACATGGAATGTAAACAACCAATTTTGTATTTTCCTGCATTAGGGCGGTAACATTTGTATCTGGTGGTGAAATCCAATGCACTCTTATAACTCATTACTTATTACTTGATGGACTTTGTGTTGCTATTGATCATAGGTATTGGAATTTGGGGGTGTCTGAGCTGCAGAGCCAAACAAATACTGTGTTCAGTAACCTCACGTACAAACACAAATCCTTCTACGGATTTGAAGAGCAAGAGCCATTTTGAAAATGAGAGATTATCATCTATTCACTCTCTCTTGCAGTAATGTTAGAAGAGCCGGGTATCTTGGTAATGAAAGCCAATTTTACTCTATTAAATGCTGGTTCGTGCAGAGTCATCTGTCTTGACTGATCACCAGGCATGTTTATAGTATATCTCACTACTGAAGTCAAAGTCAAGTATTTCTGGTTTGGGCTAGTGTAAATCAGATTTTCTGTAGAGCTAGGTAAGCTGTCAAAGAGTCATGTATGTTATTAATTATTTACTCTAAATACACAGCTCAGAGCCTATACATTGCTGGTTCCAAAAAGCCATTAGGAAATATTCCAAGCATAGTTTTAACACTTGATTTATTGCTTACTGGAAATACCCTCAGATGAGCATAGTCGGATGTCAAGGGTGAAAATATTTGGCCTGGACATCCGACACTATTCCTATTCCTATTCCTTATATCTAGTTTAGGTTCCATAGCAAATACAATTCCTTTTTTGTTCTCTTTAGAATAAACTCACTTATTTTTCTTAGATCACTCCTACGTTTTAAAAAACATAACTTTTTATTGCTGACTGAAATGTCCTGATGACTAATGAAAAGTTTCAGTCACCTTTTCTTTATCTGTTCATTTGTTTTGCTTAGCTAACTTTGACATTTGGAAGTTCTGAGATTTGGGAGGGGTGAAGGGAAGTTGTATTTCAAAACCAGAAAAACAGTTCAGGAAATTCCAGTCATCTCTGCTCCTTGGTTGTGTGAATATACTTTAGTGAGCACTTCCAGTTGGCCACATTGCTGCTAATACGGTAGTTCTGGAGAGCTCAGCAGAAATCTCAAAAATGTTGATTCCTCAGGATTTGAGTCCCAAACCAGCTTAAGTGGAAGAATCTGTTAATTAGATATCAGGACATTTCAGCAATAATTCCTTTACTTAGAAACATTATAATACTTTCATCAGCTCTTTTGCTTTTACTAAAACAATTAAACAGAAAAGCTTCAACAGGTCTAGTATTTTTTTTCTAATCACAGTTTACTTTGTGAGGAGATACAGGAGTTGACAAACAAAGGTAAGAATCCTGACTGATGTTTGAAAGGCTCACTAATCCTTCCCTTGAAAGGTTCATTTAAAATACAGAAAATGGGCCACCTTCTTCTCTCTTGGTAGTTTTGTAATGAAAGGTTGATTGTTCAAGCGGCAGCATTCAATTATTTTGCTTCTGATGCTATCTACATGTAAAAAAATCCAGCTAAGCTCAGATGCTCCCTGCAGGCTTTTCAGTTGAAGCCTTCAGTGCAAGATGCAAAACAAAAAGCAAGAGTTTCAAAGTTAACATTCTAAATGTAACGGGTTATGCTGTCAAGTTAAAGGGTGAAATTTGCTTCCAGAAATATGAGCAATTTGGAAAAGCTGCTGCAGCATTTGCCTTTTTAGTGAAACTCATTTGTTGATTATGTTTGCTGGAGAAAATTTTGCTAATTAGGGAAGTCAGAGCAGTAGCTAGAGTTCAGAGAAGTTGCCCAGTAATGTAGTCATCCACTTCTTGTTGAATTAGTTCCAATATTTGACATCCTCAGCAGACATTAAAAATATATGCTATATTAATAGTTTTAATAAAGTTGAAACAAAATAAATCTCTGCATCTGTGTTTAACTTTTTTTCCCAAGGACCTGGGATGCTCAAATGATATACATAAGGACCACAAGCACAGGCATGTCTGGTCTGATGTTTTGCCAAAAAAGTAAACAGCACTGACCTCCAGAAGCGTAGTGAGCAAAATACACAGTTTTAGCAGTATGTATCAAAGTTAAGCCCACTGAATAAATGCCCTAAAAACACGGCAAGAATATACATACAGTGGGAAATAAATCAGCTCTCAAAGGGGTAGTGATGAGAGTGACTCAAACCATTTGGAAATTTGTGTGGATTACTGCGTTGCTACTGATAGAAATTTTAGCCCCACATTTATTCACTTGTGGATGGGAAAGTTTGAAAGTGATTCAGTGCTGCTAACAATGGATCCACACTCACAGCAACAGGGGCATCTCACAGTGGCTCTGGCACTGGGGGCAAGCTTGGCAGCACTGAACAATCAGCACACTTTTTATTTGCAAGCCAGCTGAAGCTTGTCTCTACACAAACCAATGCACAGTCTTCCTTACCATCTCAGCTCTTATTTTTAAAAGGAATAAAACACGAATGCAACCAGTACAAAAACACTGGTAACTCAACACACACACACACAAAAGATAGTAAAAAGTGTAAAACCATTTATTTATGATTGAGATGCTGTGTTAAATGTTATGAGATGTTAAGTGTGGTCTACTTTTTTTTTTTCCTCACACAGTGTATCTGTATATCATACCCCATTGAGTAACCGGCTCCTCATTCTGATGACCCGCAGCTCATGTTTGCAAAACGCTGCCACATTTTTTCTGCCAGCTCAAAGCAAAGTCACCCGTGCCTTTGAGTATGCATGCAGAGGCTCCACTGATCCCGAGCCAAGGCACACCTTCAAAGCACCCCCGTGGAGCCTGTGTTGTGACACACTTACACTGTAAGAGAGGCAAAATCAAGTATAAGCAGTAGTTCCTTTGGGTAATTCACATTTCCCGTACTGCTGGGAGAAACTGCATCCTCCTCCTTCCTCCTCAGCTCGTTCGGTCCCCTGCTGAAAGGTAACACTGCAAGCCCATCCTTTGTTAGCCAGCGGGAGAGCAGCAGTAAACAATTCGAGGACAATAGCCACCAGACATATGGAAAACACTTCAGTTTTACTGAGCCACTTACAAATGCTTCACTAATGAGAATTCCTGAAAGCTGAAGGAAGCTATCACCTGCTGGCTCCTTCTTGAAACACTGTGCTTTCTGTGGAATGGAAGGTTGCTTTAGAAGCTCTTAAATGACCCACATTTTTATTTTTATTTTTATTTAAGGGGACACTTTAGGCTAGAATGGAAAGTACAAATACAGGTCAGGGAACAGCTCAGCAATGTCAGGTAGTAGTTTAATAATGACCTCATACTTTCCATTTCCAGTGTCTTTCAGTGTTTGTCTTTTACAGTGCCTTCTACACTACAGAGACTCCGGATTGTTTGGGAGATGCCAGCTAAATCCCCAATTTCAGCCCTCAGGGAGCTGCTGCACCTTGCAGGCCCTGGTGTCTGCCTGTGGCCTCTCTGTGGTGGTCACACTCCCACAGACCACCTGCAGCAGCTCATGTTCCTAGGATGTCTCCATCAGTGGTGGCTGCAGGTGACAGTGCAGATAGGCAATGCTGGGGATGGGCCTACCAAATGGTGAGGTACACAGAGTGTTCCTCAGCTGCTCTGGAAGAAAGTCCAACACCTCTGTGCGTAAAGAGTCTGCAATCAGAAGGCAGCTCCGTATCAATCATAGGATTTCAGAATCATTAAGGCTGGAAAAGAACACTAAGATCACCTAGTCCAACATCAGCCCATGCCTGTGACCACTCACAGACCTCGTCCCTCAGTGCCACATCCACACGGTTCTTCAGCGCCTCCAGGGACGGTGACTGCACCACCTCCCTGGGCAGCCTGTGCCACTGCCTCACTGCTCTTTCTCAGAAGAAATGTTTCCTAATATCCAACCTGAGCCTCCCCTGGTGCAACTTGCGGCCATTCCCCTTCATCCTATTACTCTTATCTGAGAGCAGAGGCCGACCCCCACCTCAGCACAGCCTCCTTTCAGGCAGCTGTAGAGAGCGATCAGGTCTCCCCTGAGCCTCCTCTGAGCAATCCCAGCTCCCTCAGCTGTTCTCCATCAGACTTGTGCCCCAAACCCCTCACAGCTCCGCTGCCCATCTCTGGACACACTCCAGGGCCTCGATGTCCTTCTTGCGGTGCGGGCCCAAAACTGAACACAGCACTCGAAGCGCGGCCTCAGCAGTGCATGGCGCAGAGGGACGAGCCTACTCCCGCTGGCCGCGCTGTTCGGCCGCACACAGCCCCCCCTGGCGCGGGGCTCCCCCTCCCCACTCATCCCGGCCCGCACACCCCGCGCGGCCGCCCGTCCGAAGACGCTGCGCCCCCCGGGCCCGCCTCTCCCCCCGCGGCGCCGGGGCCGCACAAAGCGGGGCGGCGGCGGAGCCTTTCCCGCCGCCCGCGAGACGGCCGCCCTCGCCGCTGCCCCCGCCCCGCCGCTGGGCTCGGGGCCGGCCGGGAGGCGCGGGGCAGCCCCGAAGCATGGAGCCGCCGCCGCCTCTGGAGCAGCCGCCGCGCCCGCGCTCCCACACGGTGACCACCACCAGCAGCTCCTTCACCGCCAACCTGTCGGCCAGCTCCAGCACCCTCGCCTACGACAGGGAGTTCCTGCGGACCCCGCCCGGGCTCCTCATGGTGGCCGAGATAGTGAGTGCGGCGGGGCGGGGGGGCACGGCGGCTCCGGGTCGTCGCTGTAAGAAGTTCTGCCTCAGTTTAAACCGGTCGGTCGCCACGGCGCACCGACGACAGCCGTGCCAGAGACACGGGGCTTCTCTCCGTTTCGTAGTCGGTAACATTTCCCTGTGCTCTCAGTGATGAGGTAAATACGTGTACCAGGACGGGAGCCCCGTGGGTTTGTTAGTAATTCTGTTAGTAATTGTAAGCAGGCACGTGCTGAGGCTCAGTTGTGCGCCATGGTGGCAGGTGGCACGGGGTGCCCGGCTCGGTGTCCAACAGCAGGCACACAGCATCCTGAGCCTGCTCACCTGCACTGCTGGTAATTAAGGAGCTGAAGGGGCTTGTTGCCCTGGCCTGTTTTCTTTGAATTCCCCTCTGTTGCTTTTGCTTTGATGGTAGTGAAAATATTGCATGCCAAATCAGGTTCATTTCTATTTGGAAACATTGTGCTTCAGTCGTGCTTGTGGCACAACTCCTGCTTGCTACTTTGCAGTACAATAACCCAGTGAATCTTCAGGTGTCTGGCTGTAGGCGGGTTTCCAGGGTTAGATGTAGGGGAGCCTTTGCTGTGTGGGGCATCTGTGAATAAAGGTCTTAGTTGTGGAAAGAAAAGCATCTTTTCCATCCTTTTTCAGTTACCAATTACAACAAAATTCTGAACTTTTCTTGTATATCATCCAAACTCTAAGGCTTGTCCAGGGCATTCCCCAGCCCACTGGAACCTGACTGAGAGTATGTTGGCTGCTGGATGAAGCCGATATGGATGAAGCTCCATGGCCATGGATAGGCTCCTACTGACTGACCCTTTAACGTGTGCTTTCCCATTTGGGATGACAGATGATGATACCTGTGTGGCTTTCCTTTCCACACCAAGTGTTGATGGTTTTCTGGGGTACTTTGTTTCCTTCACACATCCCTGACTTGTAGAATAATTACAGGACGATTCTTCATCCAGCGTGTTGAGGTGTTTGACTTCTTTAAACATTGACACTTAGAGCCAAGTTTGGTCTAAATTTCAGAAGTACCTCAGGGAAAACATGTTTGGCAGCTTTGAGAAGAACTTCAAAGCTACCTGACCCTGTAGGCCAACAAAGAGTTTTGTCTCCACTTCAGACTTCCACTCACATGCTTTTACTGATCAACAGAGTGAAGATGTGTGGTCCCTGCTAGCTCAGGGGAGCTGATGGAAGTCTCTGAAGTAGATAAACTTATCCAGGTTTGTGATGGACTGTTTGAGAGAAAGGAGGACAATTCTGATAGCAGATTAGCAGCATTAAGGCCAGCCTACAGAAGTACTGAAAGTATCCACAAGGAAATTCCAGTGGTTCTCAGCCCCATTTATTTTAAAGGAGGTGGAGATGCTGTTCTGTGAAATGAAGAAAAAATATAATAGTAAATACTTTTTGATGGAATTAACTAAAGTTATTAAAATCAAATGATTTTATTTGAGTGTTTATATATGTGTGTGTGTGTGTGTGTTTGTGTATTGGACACTGGATTTTGGCCAAACCATTTCCACTAGTTGTGTATGATTTTTTTCTGAGAGAAAGCGTGCTTTAGCAGAGCATGGCTAGCTTCATATAAGATCTGGGTTCACGTTGGCACCGAATCTGTCAGTTCCTGCATGTTCTGATCATCCAGTGTGTGTCCCAAGACACACCCACAGATTGGCTGTGCAGGGTGTTTCTGACCTTCAGTGCTGATCCCCCAGCTGTCAGCACTGTCCTTTGCTAAAAAGTTGCAAAAGCTGTAAATTGAATGGGCTTGTATCTGTGTCTCTATTTCACCTTGGGAGTTCTCAACCTGATGGATTGCTTTCAGTCTGCGTGCCATGCTCTGAGCTGCAGCAGCTGTGTAGGTGCTACAGCTAGATGGGCAGGGAACGGGGATGCTTTTAGGAGCAGCTTTCATTGCTCACCCACTCATCAGCTAGACACCACGTTTGTTAGGATGCTGTGTTAAAGCTAAGCCAGAGGCTTGAAGCAGGAGCACTGAAGAGTTAGCGCTGCATGTTTGATTACTGCCACTGTCAATCAGCAATGTGCACACTGAAGTTTGTGGCTGCTGGTTTTGAAACAAGAGCTCTCTTATTTGTGTAGATAAAGGGCAAATCTCTGTTATTCTTCTTCTCTCCAGCGTGGGTGCTGTGAAGATGAGTAATGGCTGTGTGCATTTCCAGGTGGGCTGGTAACCAGATATGGTACATTCAGATTTACCAGCTCCTAGGAGGATGTTCTTTTCCGTGCTGTAAAACACACGTCTGCCATTAGCTCAACCTGCTGCTTCCAATTGCTTCAAGATACGTTGGCTTTGTAAAGACAGATGGGTGAGGTATTATCTGTCTTTATGTAACTGCTTTAAAGCAAGCATAAGGCTGGGGTGAGGTTGGCCGTGCACATTCAGCAGTGATGGAGCTGTGTATCCACACCTGGTTCAGCCTCATGCTGTAATGCCTTTGGGTCTGGAACTGCACTCCAGTGAGTGAGCACAGAGCTGCGGCTGGAGGTGTTGGCTGTAAATTACCAGGTGATGGCAGATATCCATTGCCTTCTATTCAGCCAGAGGGCATGCAAGGCTTCCTGCTGTTTGCTAGGGAAAGAACTGGGGTTGATTTATAATACTGCTGGATTTCTAAGAGAGGCCTTTGAGAACTAGTGTAACATGCAGCTTTGGTGTGTGGAAGTTTATCCGAATTAGTTTAACACAGAAGTCATGATGTGCGATGAGCAAGGCAGTGGCTCCTGACTCAGGAGATCTGTATTTGCTGGCCTCAGTGCACTGGGTGGCTGTTGGCAGCAGGAGGAATTTCTCTGCATTTCTATGACTTCAGCAGTCAATCACCTGAGTTAACGCTGCAGTAGAAGTGCATCCTGCAGAAGGTAGCAGGTACTGATTCCCATAGCACGCTTCCTAAAAAGGAGCAGGATTTTCAAAAGAAGCAAGTATAGAAATTTCCAGACATGTCTTTTGAGTGTTTCTTTTCCATACAGTGATGGCTCAGGAGGACTATTTGTGGGAATTTTATGGCTCTGATAAATGGTGGCAAGCAATACCTCCTGAGCTTTCAATCAGTTCCTCAAGTCAAGCATTACGGATCACTTTGCAGAAGTGGAGTTTTTGTGGTTGCCGTGGATGTGGTTACAAAGGTATTTACTTTCCAGCACAATGACATTGATTTCTTCAGACTGTTGCCTCGCACCAGTGTGTTGCTAAATGCAGATTCTCTCTTAAAACTTGCCCTGATCGTTCTAAGGCTCGTGATGGCTATTTGTCCCTAACAAAACCAAATATTACCTAGCTAGAAAAGGTCTGGGAGGTTGTTATGCTGCAGCTGCAAGCAAAAGCTTGTGGTGGTGTAATTTTGAGTAAATTGTAATTACAGTCATGCTTCCTTATACTGTACAGATTAATGCTATACATTACTCTTCATGTGAAATGCCCATAATGCGATAGGTGCTTGAAATAGAAGCTTGAGAGGTGCTTATTTATGTTATTGGCGCCACATAAAATTGTGCTTCACATTTACATTTCTGGAGAATAAAAATAATTTTGATGACTGTTTCTTTATTCTTCAAATGAACCTTTGGAGGCATAATTCAGGCAGGAAACCTTGTTTGACTTGCTTATTCCAGTGCGATGGTGAGCCTGGGAATGTTAAATAGATACTGTCAAATTTGAAACATAGAAGTTACCAAAAGCAAAACCTGTCATTTCCAAATGTCTAGTCTTTTTCCCCTTTAGTAGGAGCCGAAGTAGAAGTAGAACCCTTTAACGGGTTTTCAGGTTTTGAATTGTTAGCAATGAAATCATAGAAATGTTAAGAAAAACAGTGGGAACGTGGACTGTAGAAAATTTAAAGACATAAATTATACTTTGCTCTTAGAATTTTCCTTTTTTGCTTTTTCTGTGCCTGCAGTTCAGAGCTTTTGTATAGATGCTGTGCTCCTGCACCCCTAGTTCTTGGAACAGCCTCAGAAACAGAGGGAGATTCCTGAAGCCCCTTCCCTCACCTGAGCAGCCTCAGCACTTTCTCTGGGATCATTGACAGTAGAGATTTTTTTCCTTTTTGCAGTAAAACTGTTACTGCAATCAAGACGTGTTTGCATGCATGAAGGTGACAATGTTGAGGCATTTTCTGATGTGCTGAACAAGTGCTTTGCCTGAAAGAGGTGCACATAAGTGTGGTCTTAAAATGATTCACTTTGAATTATTGAGGGAAAAAGCTACTCTGTTCTCATCAATCACTGCATTCAGCAGCTTCATCTTTCTGCACATGAATAAGAAAACATACAGTACAAAGTCTAGGCTCTATCCTTTGTTCTTGATCAGGCAAAACTTTCACTGAAGTCAGGTTTCAGTTCTCACTTTTTTCAGGTGCCATCATTCCATTGCTAACCACTGTCATCCTTGGTACCATGAATTCGTACATCTGTGTGATTTCCATCTGCCTCCAGGATCATATTGTTCACTTGAGTTCTGTTTCCTAGAGGCTTTTGATTTCCTGGACAAGGTCAGGGTGTTTTCTTGGGAGGAGAAAAATGTTTGGTGACACACATGAAAACAGAAGCTTTGGAAATGGTGTCAAACGTGCTCCAAGTGCAGGTTAAGCAGTATGAAGTCTGACGTGGTAAGAGGGTGAAAATGCCTCTCAAATTGAATACAGATATTTTACAAAAGGTCAAAAATGCAAAATATTCTCAATATCTCAAGGTTAAGGTGGAATATGTATGAAATGCCATTATCTCTTCATGAGAAGAATGCTTTAAAGACATATTTAAGCATCAATTTTGTTCTGGGGTGGATAGTGAATATAATACGATTCCTTCTCCCTCACCTCTGCCAAGCTCTAGAAAACAATCCTTTTCCTCTGTACCTACAAAAATTCTTATGCAACCCAAAGGCAGTTTTGATTTTTTTTTTTCTTTTTTTTTGGCCTTCTGTAGCTAAAATGCATAGTCCTCCCACTATTT